CAATATCCACATTTGATTTATACCACTACGAGAGTATATTTTGTCACAGTATTTTTGAATACCCTCTTTAACAGCCGTTAGTATAGATGTCAATACTTTTGAAAGTGGTTTTGTGGAACAACGGGATGAACCTGCTATAAAACGTTGCTTGTAGGGATTTTTATGTAGTTTAGGTATCCAATATAACAAGGGCAAATCTGTATAGGTATCTCCACACGGAGTACCAAATGAAGTGAGTACAGATTTGTGATTGGATATAATTTCATCCTTACTAAGAGTAGATCGTTTGTATGTAGCACTGTCGATTGGTTTCCCGAAATTAAGTTCGTTGAACAGACAGTCAAAATAATAACGTTTACATATAAATACTATGTTATTGGACGCCTTGTCAGCCGGAACAATGACATACTTGTCATGCAAGGCATTGAGATTTTCAACAATGCTAACATCATTGAAAATAGACTTAGGCCTAGTGTCAACTGACAAACGTTGCATGTATATTCTTCGTTTAAGTAAACGACTGATAGATTTAGTCCAATCAGAGAGAGTATCCGAGATAACATCTTCCCTCTTGGCCCATGATCTAGCGTAGTCCTCTACGTCATCCATAATAAGTTTGAAATTTTGATCCCATGAAAATGGTTGCGGTTCCCGGTATTTGGGTCCTTTGGACAAAATTTCACGTAGCTTATTATTCTGGACTATGTTCAAATCACCAGTGACCTCATGTCCAGCTGGTGGGTGAAGGAAGGACGACGTAGAGCAAGAACAGGGTAGAGGGTCATCATATAATTCTTTTGCATTGATGTTAGATAATGCATTTCTGTAATTAAATATTTTGGATGCAATGGGTTTAGTATAAGTATAAGAAATCCTAGGAACAGTAACAGTTTTGAAGTAAGGAGGGATGTGTGCTGTGACTTGCTTATGGTGTAATATTTGGCTTAACCCGATAGCATCAATGCCTTTATTAGCAAATTTCAGTTTTAGAAATGAACTGTTGGTGGTGTGTGACGCATCAGGCTCAGTCGTAATGTCCAAACGACGGTGGGCAACATGTCATTGCTATCAGACCAAGAACTAACTATTCCTAAATCATTAAAACTTTATTTTTATATATTAGTCTTATATTATTATTTCGAAAACTTACAAGTAACTCACTCTTAATTAAAATTAAACTTTATTTTACTATTAATAAACTTTGATGTGTCCCTTTAATTATAAATTTCCAAACTAACTTTGACCTCTTGACCTGAACTCGATATACAATTTTATAATTTCAGTTTCTGTTTTAGAATTCCGCCATTATTTTTTTATTTCTCCGTTAGAAATGTGACCTTTTGCCCTAATCATTTACAATTTTGTATTTCTGTTTTGACTACTATTTACTTTTTTTTCCATGTCAACCAAACAAATATAATGTTATCGTACACCACTGAATGTCTAAAACAAACCGGATCCATAGCTTATTCCAACATTAGTATGACATAACACTATCGAGAATGTCAATGAAATATGGCCAGTATATGAATGACATTCCATTTTATCCTACAGTATGACGCGAAACCCCATTTCATTTAATTTATAACCATGTCCCAAGTGAATGAGTGCACTTTCATCCACAGGAACATTAGTCTATACACATACAGTTTACTATATTAACGCGTCACGTCAAATTTAACACAATGTTAGAACCTATTGTTTATTATAATTCGACCTCATGTCAAATTACACATTCCTAATGATTGCGTACATGTCGACAGCTTAAAGCAATTAGCAGTATATATTAAACGTTAATATTACGTTTCTAAAGCAAAAATTTAATTACATAAAATTATATACAGACAAAATTTACCGTATACCGCCACTTTCCTAAAAAGTGTCGTATTCTTACTTTAACCTCATATTAAACTCGTATTAATGACTTTGCGATAATCTCACAATTTAACGAGCCAATAATTTTAGTGTTTTCCCACAACAACTCTAAGGCCTGGACTAAGGGCCTCAAAATTATATAGCTGAACACACATATACGAAACAACACAAAAACACAAATTAACGAATCCCAGTAGAAAACACGGCCAACTAGGAAACTAGAGTTAATCACTCACAAACTTCATCCTTAGCTCTGCCGTCTTTCCACTGCGACACGGAGACAACATTAGTTCCTTATTTTATTCCCTATTCCGTTTCCTTATCATTCCTTAGTTATATCAAAACATTTTATTTTTTAAAACCTACTCCCTAGAGACCCTCGATCACTTTAACTTTAATTTTACTCAAATTTACTACAGGTCATGTTAACCCGATAATATACATACCTATAGCTTGTCATATTATATTGTTTACTAAACTTGTCTATCAGAACCGATGAATGACTGTGATTTATGCTCTATACAGTTAAATTTTAAATATTTAGTTTCTAATCAGATTTTAACATTAAATTAATATTATTTGGTCTGTAAACAAATTTAACACATTTAATTTACCAAACAAAATGTATTTACCCAATTTTTCGATTATCTTCACCATATTTCTTTTTTTCCACCAGAATTTTTCCTCTGTTGCTGGATTGTACAGATCTTTTTTTCTTCTTAACGTCTTCAAATATGTATTCTTCTTCTAAAGTGACTTCTTACCCCAAAGGTCGAAACTTCAGCACAGCACCAAATCGAATATGTAGCACCATAGGTCTTTTGTCTGACGTGGAGATCGGGTAAGGGGAGCCGGTCGCCACATCCTACGTAGACCCATGCATCTTTTCTTACTACATATTTCTGTAGCCTTGTGATCGTCTAGAATTTGTCTCTAGCTGTCTTTACTTTTGCTTCACGTTGTGTATTTACTTCTTACAGTTTCTTAAGACGTTTGTCTTACCAGGAATAACAATGCGACAGTTTGCTTCTACATTTTATATATATATATAGCTGAATACAGGTATACAAGCATAGCACAAATTGCAATACTAGCTAAAACCATTTCTCTACACTAGCCAGCCTCGCGGCTGTCTAGGAACTCAGATGGAAGCCCTCTGGAATCTAATGGAAGTCTAACGAATTCTCACAAGTATGATAGTTTTGTAGCTGTGGGTTTTGGACGTTCAATTATCTAATTGGTCAAATATCATGTAAATAAGTATAGAGATTGGTCAAACAAGCTAAATGATGCAATCGTAATTTTCCGTCTCATGTTTCTCGACACAATCTATCCTTGAACTCAGACCCTCTTTCCTGTTATTCTCACGCTATTTCATAAACAGTTAATTTGCGTTTTAAATAAACTCATACCTTAATATACTGACAATAGAGAATAATTTGTAAAGATAAAAAATGTTGTTTAACCCATCTTATTTCTCTATTCCTTGTCTATAAATTTAAAAACAATGTCGCAACGACGATAGTGCTACATGAGACGAACAAAAGAGGTCCACGTGTGTACTCGTTGGCGTGCGCGTAAATAAACCCTTGACATGGGAATTCGAGGTAATCATATGCGGAAACACCGCTGTCTGTGAAATATTCCTCCACAGCACATGCGTTGCGTATGCCCGTCTTCATTGACTCGGTTGGCGTAGAAATATAGGACGTTCAACCCCATTTTTAATTTCGATATTCATTTCATACACAATTATGTACACGTTTCTAAAATAAAATAAAAATAACTAGTTTAATGATCTTTGGGCTGGGTACACCAATGAATGAACGATTATAATAGACTCAGTTTGTATACTTGCACTTGTAAACAAAATAAAAATAAGTAGTCTAATCATTTTTGGGGTTGGTATAGCAGTGTTTGAATGAATGAATAAACGCTTAGAATACCCTAAGTTTTTAAATTTTCTTTTGTAGATATAATTTTGTTTTTGAAATAATCTTAACCTTTCTTTGTATTTTATTGATCATAAATCCTTTGTGCTGCACACTTCTATCTGGATGGTAAATATGTTAACCGTTATTCACGTTCTTTGTGAAACTATTAAACTGGTGATCGGCTTAGGTTACAGCATTACAGTCATCCAACTTGCCAGATACTGGAACAGTTAATGCGGATCTTCTAGACTGAAATGTTTCTAAAAATTTACGAAGATTATCTTCAAAAAACACGGGATACTACTTCTCATGTGTGTAGGAAGTATACTTTATGATTTGTGTAACATGCTGTGATAAATATAATTTGATAAATATATTGTATGTTACAGATCAAGAGAGATTACAAGGTTTTGAGATAAAGATAAGTTCCGGTGATGAGTGTAATGAATCAGGATTTACATCAGCTACATCATGTTATGTAAATACACCACCAACAGAACAAGATGTATATACTATAGAAAGCTGTAATCAACAACCATCTACATCTTTATCTGCTAGAACAGTATTTATCAATGTTACTGGTATACTTACATTATGTGAAGTTAAATTATATACAGGTCAGTCCCCTTATTTTATTTACAGGCTTATCCGATTTTCTTAGTGAGAAAAGTCAAAATTTTTGTAAATTTCAAACTCAGTAATAAATAAAAAAGAAATATACGATATTTCAGGGGTTTCAAGTAAGAAAATAACATACCTCTTTCCTTTTGAATCTTTAGCGTAATCTCATCTACCCGTGTGAAACAAAAACGACAAAATACAAATTTCTGATTTCATCTTGTACTCATTTAGTCAAACCTTGTAACTGTTAATCTCTGGCATATATCTTGCTACGTTCTGCGGCTACATGTAATACTGAGATAAATTCACTTTCATACATTAAAGTGTATGCACTGCTTTCTGTTTATTGTAATATTGCAGCTCTAATAGTTCATTATAGTAAATGACAATACAGTAATCTTACACGGACTGGTACAGAATACAGAAAAAATAATTATTTTTTCAGGTTGTACAGGAGATGATTGTGAGTGTGATGATAACTGCGAGTCTTGTATTGTAACAACAGGTGTCTGTAACTCATGTAAATCTGGTTGGTTTGGTACAAACTGTCTACAACAATGTTCTACATGTATGATATGTGATAAATCAGATGGTACTTGTAATGATTGTATTAATGGTAGATCTGGTATAAACTGTGAGAAATCATGTATAGTTACTAACTGTATAGGTAACTGTGATAGGAATACAGGACAATGTACCACCTGTACACAAGGTTACCATGGTGCCAACTGTCAATCAAGCTGTAATGGTGGTTGTCTAAACAGTTACTGTAATAAAGATACTGGTGAATGTACTTCTGGGTGTAGATCAGATTTTACTGGTAGTAAATGTGAGACATGTGTACAAGGTAGATACGGTACCAACTGCCAACAGAACTGTAATGATGGCTGTCTAAACAGTTACTGTAATAAAGATACTGCTGTATGTACGGATGGATGTACCAGCGGAAGATATTCACCAAACTGTGCAGCATCATGTACAGTTACTTACTGTGTCGGTAACTGTAATAGGACTACAGGAAAATGTACTAGCTGTAGACAAGGTTACCATGGTGTCAACTGTCAATCAAGCTGTAATGGTGGTTGTCTAAACAGTTACTGTAATAAAGATACTGGTGAATGTACTTCTGGGTGTAGATCAGATTTTACTGGTAGTAAATGTGAGACATGTGTACAAGGTAGATACGGTACCAACTGCCAACAGAACTGTAATGATGGCTGTCTAAACAGTTACTGTAATAAAGATACTGCTGTCTGTAGGGATGGGTGTATCAAAGGAAGATATTCACCAAACTGTGGATCCCAGTGTACAGTTACCAACTGTGTCGGTAACTGTAATAGGACTACAGGAAAATGTACTAGCTGTACACAAGGCTACCATGGTGTCAACTGTCAATCAAGCTGTAATGGTGGTTGTCTAAACAGTTACTGTAATAAAGATACTGGTGAATGTACTTCTGGGTGTAGATCAGATTTTACTGGTAGTAAATGTGAGACATGTGTACAAGGTAGATACGGTACCAACTGCCAACAGAACTGTAATGATGGCTGTCTAAACAGTTACTGTAATAAAGATACTGCTGTATGTACGGATGGATGTACCAGCGGAAGATATTCACCAAACTGTGCAGCATCATGTACAGTTACTTACTGTGTCGGTAACTGTAATAGGACTACAGGAAAATGTACTAGCTGTAGACAAGGTTACCATGGTGTCAACTGTCAATCAAGCTGTAATGGTGGTTGTCTAAACAGTTACTGTAATAAAGATACTGGTAAATGTACTTCTGGGTGTAGATCAGATTTTACTGGTAGTAAATGTGAGACATGTGTACAAGGTAGATACGGTACCAACTGCCAACAGAACTGTAATGATGGCTGTCTAAACAGTTACTGTAATAAAGATACTGCTGTATGTACGGATGGATGTACCAGCGGAAGATATTCACCAAACTGTGCAGCATCATGTACAGCTACTAACTGTATAGATAACTGTGATAGGAATACAGGAAAATGTTCTAGCTGTAGACAAGGTTACCATGGTGCCAACTGTCAATCAAGCTGTAATGATGGTTGTATAAACAGTTACTGTAATAAAGATACTGGTGTCTGTAGGGATGGATGTACCAGCGGAAGATATTCACCAAACTGTGAAACACCATGTACAGTTACTAACTGTGTAGATAACTGTGATAGGATTACAGGACAATGTTCTAGCTGTAGACAAGGTTACCATGGTGCCAACTGTCAATCAAGCTGTAATGATGGTTGTATAAACAGTTACTGTAATAAAGATACTGGTGTCTGTAGGGATGGATGTACCAGAGGGAGATATTCACCAAAATGTGGATCCCAGTGTACAGTTACCAACTGTATAGGTAACTGTAATAGGTATACAGGAAAATGTACTAGCTGTACACAAGGTTACCATGGTGCCAACTGTCAATCAAGCTGTAATGATGGCTGTCTAAACAGTTACTGTAATAAAGATACTGGTGAATGTACGGATGGATGTACCAGCGGAAGATATTCACCAAACTGTCAATCAACATGTACAGTTGCTAACTGTGTAGATAACTGTGATAGGAATACAGGAAAATGTTCTAGCTGTAGACAAGGTTACCATGGTGCCAACTGTCAATCAAGCTGTAATGATGGTTGTATAAACAGTTACTGTAATAAAGATACTGGTGTCTGTAGGGATGGATGTACCAGCGGAAGATATTCACCAAACTGTGAAACACCATGTACAGTTACTAACTGTGTAGATAACTGTGATAGGATTACAGGACAATGTTCTAGCTGTAAACCTGGTTGGTATGGTATAAACTGTGAACATAGATGTTCTAGTAACTGTACTGGAGAATGTAATAAATCAACAGGTAGATGTACAGAATGTAAACCAGGAATATTTGGTGATGAATGTAATACACCATGCCCCCTTAACTGTTTTGATAATTGTACTAGAATAGGTGGTATATGTAATGGCTGTAAAGCTAATACAGACGGTCTATATTGTAATTCTACATGTGGGGCTGAATGTCTACCAATTACAGATGGGACACAAGAAACATGTGATAGAAATGGTACATGTACTGAATGTATTGTGGGAAGATATGGTGATGGATGTGATAAGATCTGTAGTACAACTTGTAAAGATGGATGTGATAGAACAAATGCTAGATGTAATTCCTGTGTTGATGGTAAAAGTGGACATACGTGCGATAAGAACTGTAATGATAATTGTACTGTTTGTAATCAAGATGATATCAACAACTGTACTCAATGTAAAGATGGGAGATGGGGAACATCGTGTAATAAACTGTGTATTTCTAACTGTAATGGACAGTGTGATAAATCTGAAGGAACATGTTCTATCTGTAAACTTGGTTGGCATGGTAACGTATGTCAACAACAATGTTCTACCAATTGTAAAGATGGTTGTGACAGAATATCGGGAAAGTGTAGAGGGTGTAAAACAGGATTTCTGGGTCACTATTGTAATGTAGCATGGTCTGTCTGTCAGAACCTATGCAAAGCTGGCAATTTTACATGCGTTGGACGCCAAGTAGTGTCAGACCAGATTATAGGTAAATATATATTAAATTTGTTCAAATAATCCATATCTTTAAGTATAAGAATCAGAGATGTTCATACTATATATATGTTGTGTATTGACATATCAAGAATTAATTTTTATCGAGCGTCTTCTATTGGCCGGAAACGTTAAACTAAAGGAAATGCGCATAGTCTCATAATTTGAGGTTTCATTATTCATTGGTAATATTGCTACTAATATCAGTGTATTTTTGTTTTATGATTTAAGATAAGAATAAAGATGAAGATATGAGCCCAGCTGTAGGTGGTGTTATTGGTGCTATATTTGGTATACTAATTACAGCTATAATTAGTGTTACAGTACATTGCTATATTATTAAAAGGTAAGATATACAATTTTATGAACGTATAGTCCGAAACAGAAGGTAAGATATATTACCGCTTCGTTGTGCTTATACCACATTACTAGACAACAAGTCAGCATGTAAATTATCATTGAGACAAGGACATGAGAGTCATAGATTGTAAGCAATCTGTTATGTTAATTTTAAAATGAGTTTATTTTCATTTACAGAAACCAATCATCTAAACCAGATAATGAATCACGTGGTTATAGATATAATAATCACCCTACTATAAATACATCAACAACAGGTGGAAATAACTCTACATCTGATGATATTACTTATGATACTCTCCAAGAAGTTTCAACTCAACAAAATGAAGCAGTAAATCAATACCAAACATTAAACCCAGATCCTACATATGTAAACCTTGGTTTACAATAAGACAATAATGTGGGGAGGAGGATTTGGATTTTTGTGACCATGGTTGTATAAAATACAGGCATGTGTAATACGATGTTAAATTTAATACAGACAAGTCTGAGCTTGTAGTGTTTAATAACAATACAAACAATAAAGAAATCAATAAAGATGTATATTTTAATGGTAAAATTATTAATATTGTAGATACAGAATTACACCTAGGTAATTCATTACAATCAGAAACAAGAGAGCAGGTAATTCTAACAGGTGTTAACAACTTCATAACCAGTTTTAATGTTGTAAATACTTTCTTCAAACATGCCATTCAAATGTAAAGTATAAGTTATTTAAGACAGTGTATCTGCCACTGTATGGTTGTCAGCTGTGGGATTTCTCCGATAGGTCCATTGAAAGATTTTACTGTACTTGGCGCAAGTGCACTCGTAGGCTGTGGTATATTCCATGTCGTACACACAATGTCCTTATTCCATTACTTTGTCAGGATTATTCTATAGAAGCTCAGCTTCATAAACGATTTGTAAAACAGTTTATTAGTTCAATTCAAATATGTCTGTAACAGATACAGTGTCTCTAGATACGATTTATATAGTATAAAAGCAAATAAACTTTTAAACATAATAAATAAATGGGATAATACCAATGTATATCAGTCTGATCTCAAAAGAGCTGGTCAAATTGTAGATATGATATGCGTGAGTCGCGCGAAATTTACTCACATAAAAAAGATCTTAATGAAATAATTACTTATTTATGCCTTGACTAAATGTATTTATATATATTGTAAAGAAGTGTACACTAATGTGCGAATGTGAAATAAAATAAATAAATAAATGATCATATTAATTATTATTCATATTAGTTGAAATGAAGTGCGCGACTCTTTGAAAAGGTAAATTGACACATTTTAATTCATTTGACCTAAAGTGTTCTCACTATTATTAGTATTATTATTGTCCGAAAAAATACAAATGACGATTAACTGCTTTAAAGATATATGTACAGTCTATACTAATATAAACAGTCCATTTAATACCTGTTATTAAGATCATCAAATGTATAGCAACCACTACATCGAAGTTAGTTTATAAATAGATCCTAGCACGTCATTATATACACAAACTTCTTAATAAAAAGGTATTGTGTAAGACTGTATCTCTGGAGTTTAATTTATGTTGAATATGTCATTATCATTGATGTCAAAAGAGTATGCCTACCTGTATACCTGTACTAAGGTCAATTCTGGACATAAATTATTTGTTTTTTTTAATGACCGGCACTTCTTGGTATACTGCAGGTTATAGTATTTATTTGTTACAATTTTTATCAAGAATTTTTTAGAAAATACTTTAATAATTTAGAATATTTTAGAAAATACCTTCGAAAATACTTTAATAATTTAGAATATTTCAAATAACACTTCAAACATGAATTATCAGGGTCATAACTATTCTCTCAAAACATTAATCGTGTGTGTGTAGGTGTGCGTGTGTGTGTGTTATTAAAAGGTAAAAAGCAAATAATGAAATAATAATACGTAATGCTAATGAAATGTTAATTTACTATAATCTTTATAAAACGTTTATAAATAGGAAGTACCTGTCAATATGGCATGTTTGAATATTTTATTAATTCGTTTATTTACCAATGTATATACTTGTATTGTAGTTATTACGTGAATGCTTGTTATGTCAAACCTAGTGGTTAGAAGTATTTCCATATAAATATAGGAGTGTATATTGATACATGAGTTATTTAGATCTAACCGACTTGGTGGTATTATGTACTATTCGTTTATCCGCGGTCTATTGATTGTATGTATGCAATATTCTTTATAATTTCCCAGTATTAAAGGTTAAAGAATCATCCAATAATCTTGTGATATCTGCAGGAGCATATCGGTCAGAATCATATATTCCTGAAGCAATGGCCCCAGAAATCCCTCTCTAGCCATTGCTCTACTGAGACTGAAAACTTGAGTTTTTGACAGAGTGTGTTTATTCTCCTCGTCTAATCAGTAAAATAAAGGGAATTGTCATGACTGGCCGTTTAACGGGTGTAATCCCTTTACAAAAATCCCATTGTTTATTAGTGCTCATATCAAGAAAGATTTTACCCTTGGATGCATCGGCGGCCAACATCGATACTGGCATGGGTAAATTTTGTCATCGCTGAAACTCGCTATTGGGACAAAATTCTTTGCCTCAAATCTCCGATTAAATACTATAAACGTGTTTTTTTTTCACGAAATAGTACACACACCACCCAGTTCGCCCGCGAGGGCAAAGTAGGCCTAATTTTTTGTCGCCGGTCTCAGAGAGGCAGACGGACGGACGGAATTCCAGTTTAGGGGCGTTCAGCTGGAAGCCCCAGGTCAAAGGCAAAGCCCCAATAGCAATAAACCACCAAGCACCAACGCTTTCAATGCCGGACCAATGTTCCTCTCGTACTAGTCAGTCCTTCCCGTTCGTAACCACTCATTCGTAAAGATTTCCCTACCAGTAGGATAAAACTAACCTGTTGATGGGTGATCAATCCAACGCTTGGCGAATTCTGCTTCGCAATGATAGGAAGAGCCGACATCGAAGGATCAAAAAGCAACGTCCCTAAGAACGCCATAAGCCGGTTATCCCTATGGTAACTTTTCTGACACCTCTTGTGGGAAGCAGTAAAGAATAGAGCTCTCCCATCGTCACCCAAGGGGCGACACAAAAGGATCGATAGGCGTTGCTTTCACACGGATCCCTCCTTCTGAAAAGCATCCTCAAGCCAGCATTTACCCTTCCGCACTACCAAGGCCCCCCACCCCCCCTTCTGAAGCTGGCCTTGGTTCGCCCGCACTAGACTTTCGCGGACACATCACCCCAGTTCAATTCGGAACTGACTCTGTCCTCGATCGACCTCGCAAGACGACCACCTGCCTTTAGTGCAAGGAGACCGACCCCTCGCTTAGCACCGTGTGCTCACCGACACAGCCCCGAATGCTCCGAATGCCATTCCAGGCTCCTGTACTATCTGAACGAACACATTGGTAAATTTGTTTGCAGGAGCCTTGTTTTCCTAGATTCCATTATCTTCCAAACAAAAGCAAATACCCGGTATCTCCACCATATATGACCACTTATCTTTTAGCTCTTCAATGCTAGTATAGATTATGACTAACGTAATAGCTACCGGGGATTCGAAACCACGCCAGTTGACGCAATGACAGGCCTTATGATACAGTGCGCACGTGCTAACCATTCGGCCATCCACCCCCCCACCACCACCACCACCACCACCACCCCTCATAATGGATATTAAAATCTCCGACAATAATTGTAGAATTCTCCCCTTTCTTACTGTTCCAAGCACCCAAAGAGTTTTTTTGTCATGTGTGGCTACAACTGGGTTATTTTGCTGTAATTTCTTCAAATATGATATTTGAAACTTGTGTATAGTGTAAGATTTTTAGGTGAAATTTTGGATTATCATGTTTTTGGATAGAACATTGCAGTTCAATATGGACATGTTTGTGCTATTTTTAGTATCGGCTTTGTCCTTGTCAATACTACTAGTCTGAACCTTGTGAACTGTCAAGACTAAATACTATTTGGACGAACAATAGAGTTAACAATGTTGTGACTTTTACCATATTCCCGAAGCAATGTACTGATAGCAAAATCTTGGGGTTTTGACGAAGTGTGTCTTATTGTAATGGTCCAATCAAATTTCTCCTGAGTACAGTAGACTCAAGAAGGTTTGCATGACTGACCGCTTAACGGGAATAACCACCTAATAAAACCGCAATGTTTGTTAGTGCTGATATCAAGTAAAATTTTACGTGTTGATGCATCAGGAGCAAACATCAATACTCGCTAATGGTTAGCACGTGCGCACTGTATCATAAGGCCTGTCAATGAGTCAACTGGCGTGGTTTCGAATCCCCGGTTGTACGTGACAAGGAGTAGGGTTGCCTGTCCAACCTAGTGGGTTTTCTCCGGGTACTCCGGTTTCCTCCCACTGCTAAAGACCCCTAAAATTAAACCATATGTTCGTCCCGAAATGACCTAGATGGTATCGAGTGGACGTTAAACCCCATCATTGGCTGCACTTTCATGAATAAGCAATCTCAGGCAATGAAATTAAGCACGTGGTACATAACTGAAAACGGCGACATTATTAAGTCTATATATTGCATTAAAATATGACTTGTTGATTTAGAGTCAAATCGACTATTGGCATGATGTAAACATATCGACATAGTTTTTGTCGTTTAGAGGTGAATTTAATGCGTCGAGTCGACTTATTAAGTCGATTTTCTGTAATATAACTCATGAAGTTGACATATTTTAGTTCGATGTGTTGCGATATTATCTCAATAAGTAGTGACCCAAATACGCTTCCATACAACGTCAGAGAGTGTGAAGTCGAAGATTTTCAAAGACGAGAAAGCAAGAAGTCAAGAAGTCGAGAGGTCGAAGGCGAGAGTACGAGAACCCGGGGATTTTCAAAGACAAGAAAGCGAGCGAGAAGTCGAGGAGTCGGGCAAACAGGGAGAGAAGTCGAGATTATGCAATGGCCGTAATAGGCTTCCATAAGTTACTTGGACTAAATCTTAATTTAAGATGCAGTCCTCAAGACTGGATAGTTAAAATGCTTTCACAATCACCCGTCACGGGACAATTAATGTTCCCTAGATTCCCTCGAACAGAACACATTACTTACTATTTTAAATACCAAACATGATAAGAAAGTTTTTGACTGAAACTAGATGGTATTATCTGGTAATCCATAAAGTGGGTTTATTGATCATTTGAACACCGTACCGTCTTCTTTAACTCAACTGGTGCATAAAAGTAAAACGTTAAACACTGTTTGGTTTCATTTATCATGTAATGAAACTTTGAATTTGTGTTGCCATTGCTTAATGAATAATAGACTCAAATATTGGCGGCGTTGCCCTGAAAATCGAAATTATGATTAATAGTTAACATATTCCTGGTCGATGTGTCGTCAATTAATTTACAATAACTTGAAATCTTTTAAGGGTTAACCAACTGAAGTTTTAAAATATACATACTAATAGACAATGCCCCTTCTGCAATTAAACGGCGGAAAAAGAAGTTGGCGGAAAATAATTCAGGAATATACTTAGGCCTCAATATGTATTGTAAATCGACAGTAAGTAATGACAAAATTTAATATATTCTGAGCCCCCCAGTCAAGTTAGGTGACAAATATGGCTTCTAAAAATAGATTTTTTTATAGCTTGGGGTATCTCCTCGCGTATACAAAGTTTTGAGAGGGATTTCAAGCAAATTTTTGATACATTAATTAGTTTGAATACTTTTTTTAATCTAAAAATGTCTAGAAAGACATTTATTCCGTCATATATATACCAAAGACATATTCATTGTATATTTATTTGTAAACATAGTAAATACCGATGATACTGAGTGTACATAAATATACTTGGCCTGCGGTAGTTTAATAAAGTTGGCGAGATTGTCATATTTACGTCTTCTGATGTTTTGCGCAAGGAAGATTTCGAAAAAAGCAGGGGACTATTAAAATTGGTTCGTCTGTCTGTCCGTCCGTCCGTCCATCCGTCCGTCACACTTTGTGGGACCCAATAACTCTCCTTCTAATTGAGCTAGAACGTTCAAACTTTGTGTAGGTGTTTATTAGGTCAATGCCTTGATGGAGTTCGAAGATGAGCATTTTCTGCTTAGGGTAAGCAGAGATAAGCAATTTGGTTGGTTGATGCTTTGGGTTACGAGTGAGGACACTTGGCGTATAGTTATATCACATCGATGCCTTGACTAAGTTCGATAATGGGCGTTTTCTGCTCAGGGTAAGCAGAGCGGTAAGCAATTTGATTGGTCGTGACTTTGGAACACAATAACTTTCACTCTAATTGAGATAGATTGTTCAAACTTGGTTAGGTGTTCATTAGGTGAATGTCTGGATGAAGTTCGATGATAAATATTGTTTGCTTACAGTAAGCAGAGATAAGCAATCTGATTGGTTGATGCATGTAAAAGAACCCTTGAGATGACTTAGAATTCGATAAGGAGCGTCGTCTTACATGCTTACCTTTAGCTTTCTGTTAAAAAGCAAACAATCAGTTGTTTTTATAATGCAGTATGAAATACATTATTCAACTAGAGACATAATGACATGCATTACAGCCTGTTATGCAATGACTATTGTATGTCTCCAACCATTGGAAAACGGTGTGTTACTATTAATAGCACTTGATCAATACACAATGTAAACCTTGATAAATTCGTTTATAGTAACCATATCAACATGGGAAGACGGGAATTATTGGCCAGATGGCATAACCCATCTTTTGTTCGATCTTCTTCCCCTCTTTCTATATCAGAGTATGTCCCATAGTTGCTTGGTTCATTCCCGTAAGTTGCAGCCATGTAACCTGTTTCTGTTACCTTTAGTCAGTGCAGAATTAATGTAAGACGTTAAACTCCATTTAATTTCATTTCTCAGACCCTTTTCCTTGCCCATGATCATATGTTTGAGATACCACACTGTGTGGGCCGAGAGAGAACCCGAGTTTAACGCCCACTCTACACAAACTAGGTCATTTCGGGACTAATGCTCTGAGTGGAAGCCGTCAATAAATCCCACCTAGTCAAGCATTCAGCCATGGTTCCACGTCTTAGTCATTTTATAATTTTTTTCTTTGTCATCAACATATCTAAAACAAAACTATATATTATTTAACGATATCTGCTTCTAGTCCAGTCAATTTACGAAAAAAAGGGGGTCTCCCCCAACTAATTGCAAGACAAGGTTTTTTAATGGTTATTGGTAGTGTTGGGTCTACTGAATGACATCCTAAAAGTTTACCAAAATGGGACTTCCGGAA